TTGCAGCCGCGGCGATAAGCCCCAGTAGCAGCGGTAGCCCCTACCCCTTCACCACTGTTGGTCCCTATTCGTCTTCTCCCAACCCGGTTCGAACTCAACCGGGCTCTGCAACCGTGGGCAGCCTACTATTCTGCTTGGGGTTAGTGCCACCTGCTTTTTTGGGTTGTTGCGACAGTCCTCGGACGTGTGAAAGGCTGTGCAGTTCTTAAAGATTCACATCCGTGAAGTTTGTGCAGAATGGCAGGGGTCATTATTCATCTCTGCTGCGTTCATTCTCAGCGTGTCTTCAGGGTCCTTGGCAATCCTGACCCACTGAAAGGTTGTCTTGAAAGGAAGAAGGGCCTAGAAGCTGGTCCCCAGCCCACAGATAAAGAGTGAAGGCAGCTAGTGAAGGCCAGCCCCTCACTGGCATCTTTGGACGCTCAGCAAAATGCACTGAGAATAAGCTGCCAAATATCAGTTTGCTTTATCTGTGGGCCTCAAGACCAGGAGTACCTCAGTCCGGTGCTTAAAAAGCTCACGCTAGAGCGTCAGGACATTAATACTGTTGTCTTTTTCATCTTTGTAAACTGAAGCTGTGCATCTTAGAGCATCGCTGGTGAAATTCAGGCGCAGTCCCAGCTAACACCTTACTTGTTACTGTACATCTTTATAGTCACATTACTTGGATCGCCCCATTCATTGAACAGAAGCACGGGAACTGGCCTTTTGCAGATGTTGATGGGTTTTCAGCCCCAGCTGGGATCTGTGGTTGGAGAGCGGTGGCTTTTGGGCTCTACCAGTTGGGTGCTGTGGCCCCAAGAAATATTTCCTCTGGTATGAAACGGAGACTATTGCACTACATACACTAGAGTCACAGCTCACTTAGGAAGGTTCTGCCTGAAGTTTTAGGACAGGGAAAATACTTGTTATGGGCATTACCGAGGCCAACCTAGATGTGCCACCCTGCTCCATGGAGGTGGCCAATGAGGACCAAAATAATTTGGCCCTCAGTCAAAGGGCTCCTTTATGTTCTTAGTGAATGCCATCCCTCCCACCAGTGGCTTCCCTCACTAAGACTCCCTCCCTTATCCCTAGCTTCTTCCATCTTCACAGCCGAGAGGCTATGTCAGTCTAGGTCAGCAGCAATGTGGCTGGGTTGACCCTCATTCTCCTTAGCTTTTAAAAGATCTGCCTCAGAGGGTAATTTTGAAGGTCAATATATATATAGGAAATGTGCATTAGCTTATGGCCAGGGGTTGGCAGAAGCAGTTTCTACTGCAGGATTTGAGTTAGTGGACAGCTTCCGCGGAACAAACCTAGATGCAAGAGTAAGATAACACTCCATGGCATTCCAGCCATAGGACCATTGGTTAGCCCCCTGAGTGGTCCTCTGGGGTTGACCTCCTTGACCTGACCCTGGTGATCACCTCCCAGTGAGAGGGATGTCTGACCTGGTGTCAAACTAATTATACTTGTTCATACAGCAGTAATTTACTGATGGCCTCTTGTAGGCATAGTTTCAGGATTCAAACTTGGCGCTTTTCTGTTAGACCCTTGGGACTGAAAGCAGAACAATAATCAGATATTATAGTCATTTGAGCCTGTTGGAAGTGACCCCATGGCAGTCTGAGGGCATAGGGTAGGGGGAGCATTGAGCCCTGGGCCAAATTCCTGAATGAAGAGATGCTTAGGCTGAGGCTACAGCAAAAGAGGAAGTGGCCAGTGATGGGGTTTTGGAGAGATGTGAGATTTAAGGTGAGGATGACACTAAACATGAAGGAGGTGGAGGCCTGGGAAAACCTAGACAAGACCAGCATGGCCGAGCCAGCAAGGATGCTGAATATAGTCACATGTGGCTGGTGGTCTTCAAGTAAGATTGAGGATGTTGGCCTAAGACCCACTGGTGAATTGTAACATTAGCTGTCTAAATGAGAAGGTGGACAACAAGTTATGGTTTCATATTTATTTATAGTAAGCATGGTCCCACAGATGGTGTGAGTTGTGCTACAGAGCATAATCAAATACAAAAAAAAAAATCAACTGGTTAGTCCAGAAAAAAAAAAAAGTAGTCCATGAGGCCTAGTTAAGCATAGGGCCTGCTCCAGCTGTGGGGATCATGGGGACATGGCGTATGCTAGGTGACAATGTTGAGTCAGTTAGCAGGGTGCTCTGTGCTGGTCCAGGGGCAGGGAGAAGATGGAAGAAAGTAAAGACAAAGGAGGGCATCTTAGTGAGTGAGGGAAGCCACAGGTGGAAGGCATGGCATTCGCCAAGAAGATGGAGGAGCAGGTGGAGAGGTGGGGATGAGGCAGTGGATGGTCCTAAAGCTGCCAGAAGGGTGTCCGAAGGGAGAAGAAGCAGTTAGCTATGTTGAGTGTTACTGGGAAGCCAAGAGAGCTGAGGACACAGGAGCATACCCACAAGCAAAAATGGTATTGTCATGGGTGGTATCTGTGTGCCTAGAGTCCAGGGGATGGTGCCAGACAAGGCTAAAGCTGAATGGGTGCGTCACTGTGAGGTGGGTCCAGGTTGCCATTCCTACTCCAGAGCAGGAATGGATAGATCTGGGACCAGAACCTGGGGGCCAGCGCTGTGTCTTGAGTCCTTACTGGCCAGAAGAGTGTGACTGGAGACAACAGTTGGCGGCCTGATGGCTAAAGCCACCAGGTACCTCCACAACTCAGCAGGGACAGGGTGAGATGGTGTCAACCTCTCCCCCAGGAAAGGTCCAAGCCTCAACTGCAGGTGGCTCCATGTCCAAGGCACCTATTAACTTAGTGGAACTTTCTGACTCAACCACTAAACCCATCCTGGCCTAAACAGCCATGAGGCCAGTTGGAGGCCCTCCCCCAAACACATCATGGTCCCTTGACCTCTCTGCCATCTAAGACTTTTCTCAACCTCCATGAGGCCTAGTTTCTATGAGTCTGCCTTCCTGCACTTCCAGAGCCCCAGGACCCTGCAATTCCTCTTTACACGTGTGACAACGTGTTTCATAATGACCTGTCCTCAGCTGACTCTCCTACTAGTCCTCCTACTTCCCCGGTGTGGGGTGGGGTGTCTCATTCATTTCTGGACTGTTGGCTGCCAAAGGCTGGGCCTGTGTGGGTGTCACCCTGTCCTGACTGGCTTCTCTCTGTGCTCTACCTGTATCGCCATCCCTGCACTGATCCTCAGGCTGTGGCCCGGCTGGGTAGGGTTCTCTGGTTTGTTTCCCTAGGGTCTGTGTGCCCTACCCCCGTTTGAACAAACCATGTGGATCTGGGTTAGTTATAAATAGCCAGGCCCGCCACTTTCCTTTTAGCTGAAAAGCAAAGTGAACGAGCAGAAAGGCACACCCGGCATGCGTTTTATTTTTAATCTTCTCCCTCGGTCTCAAAATGAACCCAGGGCCCAGTGATGAGTATTTCTACAAGCAGGAGCCCAAGACAGATGCCTGAGAGACAAAACCCAAGGAACTGATGGCCCTGGGTTTGCCTGCATCTGCTGTGTGACCTTAGGGATTCAAACCTCCTCTCTGGGCTTGTTTCCTTAGCAAGGTAGAGGGGAGCAATGGAGGTGACCCCATCTAACATTCCGACTTTCTGAACTGCAACTTCCTCTGTCCTTCCCTCTCTCGCCCTTTGTTCCTCCCAGCTCCGACAGCAGCTCCTGGCAGTTCCAGTAGCAGCATGTGTGTCCCTGGCGTTTCCTGGGAAGCTTAGATTCAGGTGGAAGTAAGGCCATAATCAAGCCTCAGTTAGTTGATTGTCAACTTTCCCTGGTATTATACAACAGTCTGCCAGGTAGGCTCATTTTAGCACCGAAGAAACCAGGATCAGAGAGCACAAGGTCTGAAGTTCGATCCCCAGTACCAAAAAAAAAGAAAAGTCTGTGGATACTAAAATTTTGAAAAGCAAAGCCCAACACACATGAAGCAACAGGAAACTGTTTTCCCTGTGTCCTGAGTGTTCCAAAAAGCAATGGGGCAGTGCTAGCTCTGAAAACCGTGCCACCTCATCACCCCTCACCCCAGGCACCTGCCGTTTGATGTCCTCAGGGAGTGAGGAAGGAAGGCTAGGGTGAAATCTTCAAAGAGGAAATCCCCAGTATTAATTGGTACTCCGAGACCTTTAGGCTAATTAACCTGTTTGTTTATCTCTCTAGAGTAAATTAGAGGATTTAGCTGGGGAGGGTGGGAGAGAGGTGTTTGCTGGTGGCCACCTCCCCAGGGGCTGTAGATGGTCTCTGGGTAGGCAGTGATGGCTGCTGGGGAGGGGAAGGAGGGGCTGGCTGAAGTAGTGACAGGCGGCCTACACGTTGTGGGGCAGAGGTGCTCTTTGCTCCATCCTCATCTGTATGACTCAGGAGGGCTTCTCTGAGATCTTGGGTTCCTGGAGACCTGTGCTAAGGTTCTGGGTTCCCCCCTAGGAGTCACAGGCATGTGGAACTCTCCTTCTTGTGAGGTCCCAGGTTCCTTTAAGACCTGTGGATTCCTGACACCTTTGACTGGGACACAGCCCTTTTTGGGACAGAAGACACCAGAGATGTCTTCTACCTCTACCCCAAGTCTCTACCTATCCTTCCATTTCAAGCTCTTCTCAGGGTCCAGCCAAACCAGTTTTGGGGCCCCATTGGCTTTGGACATGGTTTGGGTGGGATGGGGCTTTTGGATGGCTCCTCACCACTCTGGACCAAGGCAGGGGAAAAGGAAGTTCCCTTAATGTACTTGGACCTATAGGAGTGAGCTGCCAGGCTCTCCTAGGGGTGACTGCTGTCTCTCAGCTGGCTGTGCACCTGTTTATGGCTGATGCCCCTCAAGCACAGGGACCAAAGGCTGGCATGTTTTGGGGACCTCTGAGGTCTCACTTCTCAGCTCTACCCCAGCTTCTGACACGAGTACACCCACAGTCTCCTGATGGCTGTTCAGGCCCCTTGCCAAGTTCTCCCGTCAACCGCCACCCCAGCCATGTAGGCCAATCAGCATGGAGGCGGGTGGCTGCTCCCTTCTACCCCCAGTACCGTTTCCTGTCCCGCAGGGGCCCAGGGCATCATCAGCAGTGGCCTGATCCCTTCGCTGGTGTGGAAGCTGCAGAGAGAAGAGGAGGACATCCAGGAACTCATCTTGGATACACTAGCTCCCTGCCTGCAGGAAGATGCCACTGAAGCACTGAGCAGCTGTGCTGTGCCCTTCCTCAAGCAGAAGCTCCTTAGCACCAACAAAAACATCCGCAGCAAAGCTGCTCGGGCACTCATTGCCATCAGGTGAGGCCCAGTCTATACTGGACTGAGTGACTGCCCCCTCGGGCTGCTGCAAAGGCCCAGATAAGGCAATGGGGCTACTCCTGGCACAGCAGCAGGTCAGCAGTGGGGCTTCCCTCAGCCAGGCCTGCCCCATAGTCCAAAGGCATCTACTCTGGGCTCCCTTCCCCTATCCTGATGGGCCTTGGGGAAGAAGGGTGCCGGAATGGAAACGGATCTTCTCTATTAGAATGGCCATTTCCCATTGACTTGAGAGCATCCTGTATCCCAGGAAATCCTTCCTTACCATCCTCCCACCTGGGCAAAATACCAGCTGACTGGTCACCTCCCTCCAAGGGGAAGGCAAGCAGGAGTGGTAACAATTATAGCCAGTGGTCACAAAGTGCTTACAATGTCCAGACGTTGTCTGTGAACTGCACACAGAGACAACTTTCTGAAGGAGGAGGTGTCTCCCTTTGCAAGCAAGGAGATTGAATCACAAAAATCTAATCACTCAAGGTCACACAGGATATGGTCGAAATCCTGGCTTGGGAACTAAGGAAGCACAAAGTCTCCTGATTCTGGTACCCCAGGACAGGTGGCTCATCCCTCCCCCATAGCCTCTGCTTTGGCTGTGGCCATATCCTCTTAGTTAGGGGCTCTTTGTCTCCCTAACTCCTGGATTTTCTTCCATTTGGGGTTCTCCCTAGAGGCCTAGGCCTATATTTCTATAAGTGTGGTCTGACTCAGGCCCCTTAAGGCTTTTCTGGCCAATCATTTGTCAGGTCTTTAGGGCCAGGGAAGATGTGTCTCATTTCATTTTGAGTGATGGTTTAGGAAAAGTCTCCGTTGTTCCCCAGACCCCTGGTCTCACTTTCACTGGCAGCAGGACGCACTCATACCAGCACTCCTCTGTATCTTGGAGCCTGTCCCAGCCTTGGTCAGTCTTGGGCTGCCAAGGATAGTCCCAGTATAAATAAATCCTTTCCTTTTGTGTCCCCCTCGGGCAGTCCTGGGCCTTACTTTGTCCTTCCCCTTCAAGTGGAGGCCCTGATTGTCCCCTTTCTGTCCCAGCATCCCTTTGGAGGGCAAGAACCAAGTGAGGCAGTATGATGTCATCCCCATCCTGGTTGATCTTCTGAAAGACGAGGAGCAGGAGGTTCAGGCCAATGCTGCAGGAGCCTTGATGTATGCCACAGTGACCACTGAAGGTAAGTTGGGGGTGGCCACCCCAGGATAGCTGAAGCCGGGTGGGTCCAAGCAGGAGGGGAAAGTGAGCTTCCTAGCATACCAGCAGTTGTAGTGAGCTTTCCAAAACTTGTCCTTCTGCTCAGGGGCCTAGTATTTTTCCCCTCACCCCCTACCCTCCACGCTTCATCAAAATCCTCTTCTTGGCCTGTCATGGAAGTCCTTTTTGAGATTTGCGTCAAAGCTCAGCCCTCTCTCTTCTTCCTGGGAGCAGGCTGCCTGTGGTCTCTCTCCAGCCACTTGCGTTAAAGCCTTTATCACTTCACACTGGGCCTGGAATCCCTGGAATCCCATCTCTGATCCAGAACTTCATGGTTCTGGGATTGATTAGTTTGTAATCCATGACTCTGTTATCCCGAGGCCTAGGCGAACCTTGCTCTTGACTCTGTTTCTTGATCATAATTATTTTTCTCGAGTTGGGGAGGGGAAAAATAAGAATACAGGATTCTCTTTCCCCAGGTCTCCAGCTTAGGACTCCCAGTGAGTTAGGCTTTTATGTCACCAACTTGGGCTGAGGGAATAGACCTTGGCTGGTCTCCACACCTGACTGTCTGGGGTATAGTGGTGCCCCTTCCAACCTTTAGACCTGCTGAAAACTGTCTGACCTTCCCCAGTGGTTTATACTCATCTTCATCAGCCCTGTGGTGTGAACTTCCATTTGGTTCCATGGAAGACTCTGCACGTTGGATTCATAATCAACATGCCTCAAAGCCTTTCAAAGACAAAGTCTCCCAGAAACTCCATTCTGGAGCAGAATGGTAGAACTTTAGATAGTCACAGGAGCAGAGGTTGAGGCCTTCTAAGGGTCCACAGCCCACCTTTCCATCGTGTAGTCAGGATGCTATCAATATGGTGCGGGCAGCGATGGCCCCTGTGCCTTCATCTTGGTACCTCAGCTCAGGCTTCCTGTGGGGACACTTGCAGGGCCAGGGAGACCATAGGGGTTCAGGCAGTAGCGAGAGACACAGAGTCCAGAACCAAAGGATGGGAAGCCACTTGCTCCCCAGCAGGTACACCAGCTGAGGGTCTCTAAGCCCCTAGCACAGGCCAAGCTCTCAGCTGCGCGATGGGAGAAGTGCAGCATCTGGTGGGGCACTTGATGGGGCCAAGCCTCCTCTGGGAAGGACTGGGGGCCTGACTCAAAGGACAGGGTAATTAGGAGGCCAGAGTCGAGAGACCTCCGCAGAAGAGGAGAGAGTACACTAACGGCAGTAACTGGGAGCGAAGTGTCAAGGAGAGCATCTCACACCCAGTACTGTCTGTTAGTGCACAAGGGCAAGAACCATATGGCTGCTTTGTTTGTTTGTTTGTTTGTTTTTTGTGTTGAGGATTGAATGAACCTAAGGCCTCACGTATGCCAGGCAAACATTCTGAGTACAGAGCTAGGCCTTTCGCCCCACTATGTGTGTTTTTGTGCTGGGTGCAGAATAGTTGTTCCAGAAATATTTGCCACATAAACGATTGGCTTTCCAACTAAAGAAGGCAAACTTGTGTGGGGCGTAATTGCAGGTCAAGAACAAGGTGCATGTATGGAAGCCAGTTAGGAGCTGGAAGGGCAGGGGATGAGAGCCAGGCCTAGCCCCCCAGGCTGGACTTAGCAGAAGAGTGCAAGAGAGATGGGGTGAAAGAAGGGTGGGCAGGAAGGGAGCAGGAAGAAGGTGGTTGATTAGGAAACCTGCTGTTGGTGACCTGCAGGGAAATATGCTGCCCTGGATGCAGATGCCTTGGACCCTCTCCTGCAGCTGCTGTCTTCACCCTTGACCAGGGTACGCCTGAATGCCACCAAGGCCCTCACCATGCTGGCGGAGGCCCCTGAGGGCCGCAAGCACCTGCAGCCCCAGGTGCCTGCCTTCCGTATTCTAGAGTTGGATGACAACCAGACTGTACAGCGGGCAGCCCAGGTCGCCATCAAAGTGATTGAGTGGAAACCCTGAGCTCTGCCACATTCTCATCCATACCTGAATAAATAGATGGACTCTCTTTATCTTGGGTCCCAGTGGTATTTTATATTCCTGGAGCATGGTTACATCTTTCTTTCCGGTCAAAGGGGAGATTCCATGCCTAGAGGGACAAGGTCCTGGGCAGCACAGGCCCAGTGTTCCCTCAGAAGGTGGAGTGCAGGGCTGAGGCCTCCAGGAGCAAGAGTTGGGGCAGGGAGACTGTTGGAAGTTGGGAGGAACTTAGCTGGACCAGTCATTAGCCACGCTTGGGATGCCTGAGTCACCAGGCCTGTGGAGTGCAGCTGGGAGTGGCCCTGCTGAGCACTCTCATCTGTGCTTCCTGTTCAGCCACCTTCTCTGCCTTCCCCCGCTGGGGGGCAGGAAGGAAGGTGAAAGCCCTGATGTGGACTTTCCCTAGGGGAGGGTGAGTCGGTCATGAGAAGATCCTTTAGGACTGACCACTTAGGACGGTAATAGGCTCAATTTCCGTGTTAAGATTGTCCCCTCAAACAGCTGCATTCCTCTCCAAACAAGGGAGGTCACTGGAGTGTATCCCACTTGGCCATTCTAAAGCCCGCTGTGCCATCTCCTCTCCCCTGGGCCTGTCAGCTTCAGGGTAGCCTTCCACGAGCCTGCCTCCCATCCATGTCTCTACCTGTGATATTACCTCCGTGGGGAGACTGAGGCATGGGAATGAGGTTGGGGGAGTGGTTCGAGAGCCCCTTTATCTCCAAGCCAGCCCTGCCTAGTGTAACCAAGTGAGGGCTCCTGTAGTTTTGGGGGAGAAGCAGTGGTTCTGACCTCTTCTAGAGGAACAAGGGAGGCAGAGCTCAGCTTTCAGGCTGGGCCCTCTCTTTGGAGGCTGAGCTGGAGCTTGTATCTTTCCCCAAGGAACTTTTTGAGGTCTCCAAATAATCAGGAATCAATTTTGAGAAGAGTTCTTAGAATAAATATTATTAGCAAAATCAGAGTCCCAAGTGAGTTTCTTCCTGTAGTTCTTTCAGTGAGCTCCAGAGAACCTCAGGTTTCTCAGAAGAAACACAGAAAAGTTTATGTTCTGGGAATTCAAGGATTCGTCCAAGTAGTGCCCCATGGTCTGCAAGGGACTGGGTGCTGGGCCCATGTGGAGTTTTCTCCTTCAGGAAAGCAATATATCCCAGTCCTGTCTCAACCCATAGCATGCTGGCTCTACTCCTGCCACAGGCTTCAACCAAGGTCAGATGTCTCTACCACCAAAACCCTGTGTTCTTGGTCTTGGATGTAAAACCCTCTCTTGCTGCATGACCAGTGGTGCTGATGCTTCTCTGTTTTAGGCCTTTGCTTCTCTTATTTTTCATTTTCATCTGCCTGGCTGTGGGCCTTGCCTACCACCCTTCTGAGTCACCTTTCTACCTGTGCCTGCTCTCTGCTCTCTCTCCCCAAATCTGGGACTCTAGTCCCAGTCTCTCTTCTGAGTTCTTCCCCTTTGTATCCAACTGAACATCTACCCTTACAAGTCTCCAGGCAAGAATTCCAGTCCTTCACAAGGCTGATACTACTCTGATACTCAAACCAAAGAAATCAAGAACACTACAGACTAGTTTTCCTTATGACACAAAAACTCAACAAAAGATGAGCAAACCAAATCCAGTGTTATACAAAAAGCTTTATAAACCAGAACCAACTGGTATTTAGATGTCTGAGGAATATAAGATTGGCTTATGTGAAAATTAATGTATATAGATAGAAGAAGGGATAAAAATCAGAACAAGAGCGCTACAAATCCATGGCCCTGCAGCTGGTGGCATTTGATACATCCCACTGAGGGAGCATTTTCATTGGTGTAAATGTTGGCCTCATATTCTTGGGTCTCCCGGGAGGAAACACTTCATCTCTTTCTTGATGAAGGTCCGGCAAAGGCAGCATCCTTGGTGCCCTCCAACACCTGAGGCCCGAGCTGCTTCAGGCAAAGTAGACGTGGACAAAGACAAGGAGTGTGATCAAGATGGTCGCACTGGCATAGATCGCCCTTCCCCAGCAGGGTTTTTCTGACACATCACCCCTCTCTGTATTTTTCTTCTTCTCCTTGGTTGCCTTCATATTCCTGGATATCTCTCCTTCAGCCAGGATGCCTATGCTTTCTGATGTGCCACCTTGCTCCATCTCTTCCTTCCTTATTTCTATCTTTCTGGATGCCTCTCCAGGGACCAGGACCTCAGTAACTTTCAAACAATCACATTCCCTTTTCTTAGTTGCCTCCATCTCCTCAGTTGCATTTATCTCCTCGGAGGCCTTTCCAGGGGCCACCTCAGGGTTCAGCTTTGGCTCCAGGCCAAAAAACAGTTGGAAGGCCTCCCAGAAGCAGCTTTGGGAATCCCGGAACATAGCTAGAAGAGAGGGAACAGGCAAAGGTAAGAGGGCGTGTAGGCCATGATACAGGAGGAGGTCCTTGTAGAGACTCATTTCTTAGAATTGAGTTCAGTGTGAAGTCCAACAGACCCACTCATAACACGAAAAAACACTCTTTGGCCTGGACGTAGAATGCCCACAGCCGTATTCAGAGACATGACTTGAAACAGGAGGGGGGAAGAGAGACTTGGGATGTGTTGTCGGGGTGGAGTGTGACTGCAGGGCTCTCAGCTGTGCCCAGATCCCTTTATCCGGCAGCTGAGTGTCATGGGAGCCCTGCCTCTTCACGCACCCCACACTACACTGCAGCAACGTCCTTTCCTGTCTCTGTAGGTCTAGGGAAGTAGTGGCTGCTCCTCTGAGTGCTCTCCCTCTAAGTGCTACTCTCTGAAGGTAGGAGGGGACCCCAAAGTCCTGGAAATTGATACTGCTCTCTTTCACCAAGCAGCTGTCTGTCTCTGTGCTGCCCCATAGACACTCGGAGGCTCTTCCTACTGCTGTGTGGGGTCGGGGAGGCAGTTTAGGAATTACAGGAAAGCTGCCATACATTTTTCTAGGCCAAACTACTGGAAAAACTCTTGCGTGGAACTTGAGTATTACTCCAGTGTCTGTGAGACGGAGGCTGGCCTGCCCCTTGGGGCCTGCGCAGGCTCAGCTCAGCACCACGGTCAGCTCCAGCACACCAGCTGGGGCCCAGCCACCGCCTGCAATGTGACCTCTAAGCCACTTCTGGGAATGGATAGCTCCTGCATGGCAAGACAACCCTGTTTCATTCTGAGTGGACTTCCAGCACTGTGATGTTTCCTGTCTCATCTTGTTGGACAACCTCCAAGCCAGTGTCTCCTGGGCTCCTGTCCTTATAGCTGAGGCTCGTAGGACCCATGAGCCCAAAGGCATAACTGTCACCCAAATCAGCCAGGGCTGTATGATGGGCAGTTGGCTGGCTCAGGGCTGAGCGCCCAGACTTTGGAATGAGACTCCCAGTGTTCAGATCCCAGCTCTACCACTAACTGGTTATCTGTGGCACAGAGACAAGTTACCTGATTGCTAAATGCCTTAGTTTCCCCAGCTCTAAAATGGGGGTAGTAACTATACCTATCATACGTAATTTTGGTAGCACTGGCACATTGTAGGCACTCAGGGAGTAAATTTACATCTCTGTAGAGAAGAAGAGCCATCAGAGGGAGACTTGAGTCCCGTATCCTCCAGAAGCATAGGGTCTTCTGCCCAGGAGAGGCCATTTATCATGCCATAGAACTCCCCAAGGCCCTCCCCAAGCAGATGCCCATCTCCTGCAGGTGTCAGGAGAGATCCCAGGCTCTTTCTGGGCTCTGAAATCCCCTGGCAGAAGTGAAAAGGGAAAAATTCTGTCTTCTCTACAGCCAGGCCCCTGCTTTTCCTTTTCCTCCCTCCCCCAAACTCATAGTCTCTTCACCATTCTGTGCCTCAGACTCAGGACTAATCTCATTATGCCCTTTATCCCAGATTGCGTCAGGGGCTGCGAGAAGCTCAGATCACCCCACCTGCTATGGCCTGGGATGCTCCTTTTCTGACCCTATTTGCCGAAACCCTTTCTCTGACACTCTGGAGTCCCAGGGTCTCAGCTTGTCTCATGGACACGCTCTCCTTCCTTTCTTGGACTGAAGCCGAATTCTCCCCCAGATCTGCTCCCAGGGTGCCCTCCTTCCCTGCCCCTATATTCCCACTGGAGTGGGTCATCTCTTACCCCCGTTCCCAGGAGCCTCTGGTTTTGAATCCCCACACTCCAGCTCACTCCTCTCACAGAGCCCCCAGATTGTCGTGCTGGAGGCACAACATGGTCTACGTGTGGGTAAACCCAGGGGGCCAGTTCTTAGGCTGAGCCTTTCTTCATCCATCAGTGTTTGCCTCAGTGGACCTCTGTGCCCTTTGAAATGCTGCTAGGACACCAACCTTTGGATTTTCTGTTCCTTTACTGGCTCCTCATCACCTAGGTACCCCCCAATTCAAGCCTGACTTCGTCTCTCCTCTCTTCTCTGTGCCCAGATCCCTTTATCGGGCAGCTGAGTGTCATGGGAGCCCTGCCTCTTCATGCACCCCACACTACACTGCAGCAATGTCCTTTCCTGTCTCTGTAGGTCTAGGGCAGTAGTGGCTGCTCCTCTGAGTGCTCTCCCTCTAAGTGCTACTCTCTGAAGGTAGGAAACCCTCCAGGGATGACCCACCCAGTGCATCTGCTGCCCTCTCCCACGTCCATCCTGGAATCCAGCCTGCTCACCATGGCTTCACAACTTCGTCATGCCCTAAACACTCCCAGGAGGCATCTTAGGGAAAATGAAAGCCCAGGCTTTTGCCTTGAAGCATTTCTGAGGGTGAGAATAGTGAGGCAGAGGGGTGTGGGGCATCAGCACACACCTCCAATCTCTTGAGAGCATGCCACACAGGGACGGTCCCCAGGGCTGCATCCTCCTTCTCACCTGGTGTGGCTGGGAATCTGGGGAGTCTCTTCCACGTTCTGTCCCTGTCCAGATCGATCCTCTCCTCCAGGCTCTTCCGTAAGCTCCAGCAGAGCCTGTAGAGCTGTGATGGAGAAAGCAGAGAGAGAGGAGGGGCATGTAACCATCAGGCCTATTATGCAGCCATACAGTAACATGGCCCACTGCCCAGACCAGGGTCTTGATGGACTGAAAGAGATGGATGCTAGATTAACAAAAGACAGAAGGAAGACAGGATAGGAAGTCATAGGAACCAGGACTCTTGAGTTTTAGCTCTGGTTCAGGGGCTATGTGGTCATGTGATCCTGGCAAGTGTGTCGCAATCTGTATGGGCCTCAGTGTAAAGAAAGGGTTTGGAGACGATGAACTCAAGGCTCCTTTCTTTTAGGAAGGCCCATGAACCCAGTATATACCCATTCCCTTCAGGGGGGCAGAAATTGTCCATAACTCTGGATCTACTTCTGGCAGCATATGTGTGTGTGTGTGTGTGTGTGTGTGTGTGTGTGTGTGTGTGTCCCCATCATCTGGATAAGGAGGACATAGGAGACCTGTGCTATCATTCCAGAAGCCCTACCAAAGAGGGACTGTACCTGGCCCTGGGGCCAAGCTCAATTCCCTAAATTCAACAGGGCATTTGCATATGCCAAAGCAGGGTCATTTCCTTTCCTTTCTAGTCTGTTTTTTATTCCTAAAAAAGCATGTGTGAAACCTTGGGAAGCAACCAAACTCAGCCAACTGTTGCCTTTTCAGAGGGAGAGTTAGGGTAGTAATGCACAATGCAGTCACTATTTCCCACCAATTCCCTGCATCCTTTCCTGCTAACACACAGCAGGATGATTATGAGCCGTATAGACAGAGTAGCCTTCCCAGCTGCCCAGTTTAAGGTCCAGCCCCACCTGGGGACAGCCCCAGATCCAAATTTTGGGACTACAATTCTGACTTGGCTTAAACTTTAACTGCTTCCTGATGATGCCATATGTGCACATTTTGGCTTCCCAGGGACACTGTCAGCCCCTATCGATGAGGCTGCTGGGTGTGCTGGAAGGGCCCGGGTTCCGGTGCTGTAGGACATCTGTGGGCTTCTGAGCATGGATGAGTTGGGGGCAGAGTTCCATTCTCCTGGGTGTGGTGAGCAGAGGCACCACGTTTGCAGGGCCCAGGTCCATAGCTGACACGTCACTCAGCACAAATGCTACATCTTCTTTCAGCTCTATCCCCTGTGGGAAGCTATTTTGTCTTCTTCAGGGCAACAATATGCAACCAGGCAGCTGGGAGTTACTCAGAACATACGTGGCTGGTGGGGGAGGAGACACAAGTACATAGTCGAGGTTAAGAGAACAGCAGAAAAGATACTAACAATCTGAATGACGAATACCCTTAGCAACAGGAAATTTAAAAGACAGCCATCTCCAGCATCTTAAGGAGGGGCAGGAGCCTCTCTTGTGCTGTGTCACTGATGCAAGGAGAATTCGTGGTGGGGAGGGAGCATCATTGATCCCATTTGTTCTACTCATCACCCAACTGGGCGGTGCGTGCAAGAGAAGAATGAGTCAAATGGAAACAGTGAGCAGAAAGAGTAGTTGAAGTGGATCCTGAACCTTGCAGCCTTCCAAGTTTACCTGTCCTTGCGATGCAACTTTTGACAAAGGAACACTAGTTTCTGTCTAGACTCCAGGCAAAAGTATAAGAAAGGCGCTAGGTCTTATGGACCCGTTCTCTTCTGAGCAACTTCCCAAACTCCAGACCTCAGGATTGCGGGAGGGATACCCAGGACCCTCTCTCCTGTTGTCTTCTGGAGGGGCCAAGTTCCTGGCCTGCCAAGGTGCAAAATAGGTGAGATGGGGGAGCCAATGTAAGCTTTATGGCCATATCGGGGTCCCACGCCTGCTACTTACTAGTTTTATTTTCTTGGACAAGTTACTCAACTTCCATGAGCTCAGATGTTTTAATGAATATCTAGAAAAGGTGATTGGCCCTGCTCCCCTGGGATGCAAGAAATGGTTGGTGAGGAGAAGTCTGTGAGGCATCACCTGGCTCCTGCTGTGGGGCCATCAGTGACCCTGTTCCCTCCCACTTCCCAGGGGCTTCATTCACTACGGGCAGCTGGGACTGCTCTGATTGCACTGATTCATGCTGAGGTTACTGAACTTACTCCTTTCATGAAAAATTTGCACTCTACAAGCCAAATTCTTAATCTAAATGAAACCTAATTTGCAGATTACTGACGAACTTCTAGTTTTGTTTTTTTAATTTTTGCACTGTTAGGATCAAACCCAAGACCTCCCACATGCTAGGCAGTGATCTACCACTGAGCCATAACCCCATTCTTAAGTGTTTTGGTTTTTTCCCCCAGTACCGGGGATCGAACTCAGGAACTTGCACTTTTGAGGCAGGTGTGGTGCCACTGAGCTAAATCCCAGCCCCTCTAGTATTATCTTTTTTTTTTTTTTTTTTTTTTT